AGAGGCCGGCCCAGGGTCTGCGCCGACTTGTGCTGCTGGCGGGGGTTTCGCTCCTTCTCCAAGATGAAAGCAGGCACGGTCGTCTTTGCCGCTTCTCCAGGACTGTTGCCGCCGCCGCTCCTTCATTGCACATTCAAGTGGAAAATTTTCAGGAGTCAGCAGAAACATTGTGTCCAAAAAAGACTGAGTCGCAGTTACCACCAAACCCTGGAGGAGACTCTCCCTGGAAAACTTCCCTTCGGTAGGAAATACTGGGGGATTTGTTTGTTTATTGGAAGAGAAATGATCCCCAGGAGGGAAGAAAATCAGGGTGTACTTCTAGTCTTTGTTCGTAGCAGCAACACTTGTTTTCAAAAGTCCAGAGGCCCGCTTTAAAGAAAGTTCAACTTCTGTGAGTTTCCTTTTTTAAAAGTATATTTTTTTTAAAAAAAACGGAGGCAACATTTTAAATGAGTTGAAAACAATAGAGGGCTCACACCTCCCTATTCTCCTCCCACGAAAGAAATAAAATCCAGATCACAATTTTCCTTGCTTTCAAATTCTTTCTTTTTAAAGGTTTATTTAAAGTTGAGTGGTGTCACTGGATAAAAAAATATTTGTGAAACAATGAAAGACCAGCCACCAGCATTTCTCAGAAGGCTTGTTAACTTCTCAGAGGCAAGTGGCTGCCTGTGATTTGTAGAAATGAAAATTGACCTCAGTAAGCACTGGAAACTTAGAGACAGATGATGTTGCAGCAGCGGGTAATGTAAAAAGGCCATGTTTTAAAAACACTGCCTTGGAGGAAGCTCAGGACCTATCAGATATGAAAATAGTGTAAAAAATTAAAATGCTACAGATTATTGCAAAGGCGCGGAACACGATCTCAGTTCAGGACAACCACACGTTTCTTCCTCCCTTCCTTTCACTGGGATGTTTCTGGAAGTTTAGGTGGTCTGCTCATTTGTGGTGTGCTGGGTGCCTGCAGGTGGTTACCTGAGTAGACAGATCCCTTCGGGAAGACTTGATCTCCCTGCATGGTCAGTGCAGGGAGTGGGTTTCTTTTCTGAGTCTGCCATGGATCTTGCTTGTGTCTTATCCATGGGGGGCTCCTCTGTTAGGGAACTCTGGAGGCAGTGGTTGGGAACAGCCTTCAGGTCGTGCCCAGTGCTGCTTCACCCTTCCACAGTTGGGTCTGTGCCCTTCTGTAAATAGGATCTTTGGGCCCAATCGCATTTGAATGCTTATACAGGGCCAGACTTAGATCCAACTTTGGTAAGAATCTTTCCTCTTTAGAAGGAAACGGTAGAACTAATTACAGAGTGACTCAGGAAAGACAAATGGATTAGTTGAACCTTTGTCAACATCGAGGTTTTGAATTGTTGATAATTTTTTTTTTCGGGGAAAGGCTTATTTTTCTAATCTCACTATTTCCATAAATGGTCACAGATATTTTTGTTTAGCGTTTCTTTGTATGTGTAACTCTGTTGAACTCTCAGGTTTCAGGTTTTAAACAGAGTTTACAATTCTTTTATTTGTTGTTGGTATAAAAAAATGAACTGATAAGCAGTATCCATTACTGGTTCTTGCTGGTGGTATGAAAGTGCCAAGGCAGACCATTTTATTTTTACTTAAATGATAACTATTATCTGACCCACAGTTTTAGGGGGGATATTAGAATATCTTTTCTTTTCTTTTCTTTTTTTTCTTTTTTTTTTACAACTTTAAAGCAAAACCAGTATGACATTTTGCCCTGACATTGAGAGGAAAAAATACAATATAGGTAAGAATCTTTGTTTAGAGTCCTCCTCTGTGTGATCTTTTGTAAGGTAGCAAATAGAACTCCAGAGAATATGCCTGAGAGATTATTAGAGATTTTCTTTTTCTTTTCCCTAAACATAAACCAGGACTCACCATGACATATACTTAATGAAATTTAATTTAAAGAGGAGGACAACCTAGCTTAGTTGGAGCCAGATTGAAATGAATTTCTCACCGAGAGGTGCTTTCTTGCATTGTGGTACAATGTGTGTGTGCTCCGCAGCAGTGAACTAATTAAACATAAGGGAGAGTTGGGATGGGGGTACAGCCTGGGGGAAGCCAGCTTTCTCCTCTGTTCCCCTTTTCTCTACCCCTCTTTTGCTTTACACAGCATGGATTCTATATTCATACACTCACTTTGGGGACTGGCATCCCCTTTTATTTAGAAAAAGGACAAGCAGGTCATAAGGAAAACCAGTGTTCTGTGTTTTTGTTGCTTGCACTTCAGTCATTTGTAAACAATTTTGAATTTTGCTGGCTCTGACAATACAGAACAACAAGTATAAGAGGGCATTTCTTAATGGGGAAATTTGGAAAGTATATAACTTGCAGTGTTCTGTCATCTGTGTCTAGATCATATTTATTGTCACATTTCAGTAAAAAAAATGTGTACAGGGACAGTTAGAGAATGTAGGCCCCAAATGTTGTTTATATAGGTCTTTGAAGCAATGAGCTGTGCCATTAACAATATTTTAAGATTTGTTGCTTCAGAAATGGATGGACATCTCTCACACACAGGGGTTGTAAGAGAGCCTGCACATCTGTGGGATTACTCTTCTCTAATCTCATGTGTTATTACGTGTTAATTGTGAGCATAATTATACTGCCTGCAAATGAAAATTGTTGTGTTTTATCACTGAGAAGGTTGGTGCAAATAACTGCATATATGATCTAGTGTACATAAGGTGACCATGTTTACACACAGATAGCAGGTAGATAACACTTTTAAAGCTTGTATTTTAGGCACCTCGTCTTGTTTCTAATAAAGAGATTACAAAAGGGAAAAAAATATGTTGCTCAGTGAAAGCTATGCTTAGAGGTTGGTTCTGTTTAGTTATAAAATTTTGGGGGCCTGTTTTCTCCTAAGACTGAAGAATGCTGGCCAGAGCAAGTGTCCAGCTTTCTCTGTCGAACCGTAGGAAAATCAGAGCCCACCTTTCTGTTGATAAATTCGGGCATGACAGTTTCCCCCTTAGAGTTCAGTGACTGGAACAGCAGAGCACTGATGTTCTACTTCTGAACTCAGTAAGAAAAGTGTAGTATTGTAAGCTTTTTGCCCTTCGACACACTTAGACTTCGCTGCTTAGCTCTTGTGGACTCACCGATGGCTGGAATAATCTTTTAGAGCTGTGTGGTGCTTTTTCTTTTTATCTGTTGGAGACGCAGATTATCCTGTGGCATTGAAATTAGATCCCAATCATGTTTGAACAGTATCAGTGATGTATTTTATTCTTCCATATTCACAAAGGTGATAACATCAAGTAATACAGGTTCATGCTAAGCACTTACTGTTTCAGGGTTGGGCTTTTTGGCAAATACCAAGTTAGGGACCTATCGCCCCCCCCCCCCCCCGTATTATGATTACTGGATTTTTTTTATGAAATCTGGGAGGTTTGGGACTTTCCCTATTCTGGGGTAGTTTTTTGAATGCTTGAATATTTGGACCTAAATATCTGGAGTGTTTTTGTGTGGGTTTTTATGTTGTTTTATTTCAAAGCTCTTAACTGTTGAAGAGTCCTTAATCTGTAACATACTCATCACCAGCTTCTTTGACCTTATCCCATATTTACACTCACCGTTGAAATTCAGCCATTTCTTCAGATACATTTGGACTGTGTAGTGGTACAGAATAAGAGAATTTTAAAATATGTATTTTTTTATTTTAATCAAAGCAAACGGGTGTGCTGAAGGGGGTAGGTTGTCAGGATGGTTTTCCTTAAAGGGTGGCTCACGCTCAGCTCTTAAGTTCTTTTGTTCACTGACTTTTTGCATGGTTGGGAGGATTCTCAAAAAATAGTTTCCATAGTCTGGGAGTCCTGGCTAACTGTGAAACCACTGGTCTCTCTTCTGATTGGATTGAGCGGGGGGTTGTTCTAAGAGGCTGTCTTTTCTGCTTTTGTGGCCGACCAAAGGAAGGCTCCATGCTGGCTGTATTATGGGCCCCTCTCTCCTCCCCCAGTTTTTTTTTTAAAAAAAATCAATATTTACTGCCCTGATGCAGTGCTTTCTGCCTTTTTTTTTTTCACATTAGTTTAAAAACTAATTAATTAAAGCTCTGTCCTAGGATTTCATTAGTAGTTTTAGTTTAAGGGACAGGGTCCAACACTGGAAAATGGGTTTCAGAGAAAAATCCAGCTTATTGATGAATAAGTTAAGTCACTGTTGTCTCCAGTGGGAAATCTGTGGTTGCTTTTAGGCATCTGACAGGTTTAGATGTATGTGTTAGGCGACTGAAACACTATTGACTGGGAATATACAACAATGACGAGTGCTGTTGTTTTTACTGATATATAAACTGAAAAACTGCTGCTAATGGTGGGAAATGTTAATTATGTGAGAACATATTGAACTTATATTCTCTGGCATGAACTTTTAAAAAAAATGCATGAACTGCACTGCTTTTTTTATAGGCACAGCTTTCTAATTATCATAATTCAGTTCAGCTCAGCTCTTGGACAGAGTTCAAGTGCAATCTCAATTTAACTTGAAAGGAGTTGTGTGTTTTTTTAAAACTGAGAATGTTTAAGAAAATTTGAAAAGTTCATCCAAGAATGTTGTCTGCTTAGGTGTGGGAGATTTGGGGGGATGAAATGAGTGCCTTTCTGTAATAGTTAACTAGATCTGAATATTAGGAAACGCTATTTTTTTTTTTTTTAGCTTTGCACCTCTCCAGACCTGCATCTTGTGCATTTTTGCATAACCAGATGTTATGTGTTCTGAGCTCTAACTGAAAACCAGTGTCTTTGCCCTAATAGATAGTAAACTAAGAAATGAATAGCTTATTACTATGAAGGATATCATGTCTGCAAAGATAGGAACCTTTTTTAGAGAGAGTAGAAAGTAGAAAGAAATGCAGAAATCTTACGAATTCATTTGACAGAGCCACCATTAATCTTTTATACCAACCAAGCTTTTAGAAGCTGATCTCCTTATCTGGCGTCTTTACACTTTGACTTGATGGCATTTTGTAAAGGGAGTCGTCTTTGACAGCATTCATTCCAGTGTCCAATGTCCTTTAGATTTCCTATGATCTTACTGTCTTTTCAAAGAAAAAAAAAAAAGCTAATGAAGCCCAGGCCCCAAATCCTCTGTGGAATCGATTTTAAGTGGAAGAAAGAACAACTTCAGGCTGGACCTTCCTACTCTCCAACTCTCTCGTCTGGCCTCACTTCTACTGCTAGAATGCAAAGGGAGCCCGCGGAAACCAAATGACTTCATTTG